TTGTGTATGGGGAACCAAGGGTGGAAAATAGAGGCTTGGTCTGGGATGGCCTCCGCCGGCTGCATAGCATGAGTAATCTGCCGTGGATGCTGGTCGGTGATTTTAATGAAGCGATGTGGGACTATGAGCATATGTCTGAGACGCCGCGCGCCCCAGGGCAAATGCTTATATTCAGAGATGCTTTGGAAACTCGTGGACTGATTGATCTGGGTTTTGCAGGCTACCAGTTCACATACGATAATAGAAGAGCTGGGCAAGCAAATGTCCAGGTGAGGTTGGATCGAGCAGTGGCAACAAACGCATGGCGTGATATGTTTGCGGACGCTTCAGTGAAGCACTTGGTGTCCCCGTGCTCGGACCACTGCCCTGTTTTGGTGTGCTGTATACCTGATACGGCGCCAAGGCCAGGGCGCTGCCGCCGATATGAGCTCATGTGGGAACGCGAACCAGCTCTAGATGAAGTGGTGGCTAGAGCCTAGAGAGAAGCAGGAAGCAAGAGGAATTTGCGGGATGTCCATTTAGCATTGGGTCAGATAATGGGCAAGCTGCACTCATGAAGCAATAAAAAGTTTGGAAACGTCACTAGAGAACTTGAAAAATCACGGACACGATTAGAAGAGCTCTTAAACATGAATGCAAACATAGCAGAGATCCGGAAGGAAATGGATGCTATGAATGAGTTGCTGTACCGGGAAGAGATGCTATGGCTGCAACGCTCACACATTGCGTGGTTGAAAGAAGGAGACTGGAATACAAAGTTTTTCCATCGCAAAGCTGTGTGGCAAGCTAGGAAAAACAGAATTAAAGGTCTGAAAGACTCCAATGGCGTATGGCAGCAGGATCAGAACACTATGTTGAAAATGGCACATGAATACTTTGAAGGCATGTTTGCAGCCGACACACACATTGATCCGGAGAAAGTTATCCAGCTTTTTGAGCCTAAGATTACTGCAGACATGAATACTAAATTGTGTGGCCCTTTCTCGGACAAGGAAATCAGTGATGCCCTCTTCCAAATAGGGCCCCTAAAAGCACCCGGACCCGATGGCTTCTCTGCTAGATTTTTCCAGCGGCACTGGGGCACTTTGAAGGAGGAGATCATCCTAGCTGTGCGACAATCCTTTGAGTCGGGGATAATGCCCGATGGTGTTAATGCCACGTCCATTGTCTTGATTCCCAAGGTTAATGACCCAACTAGTCTCATAGAGTTTCGACCCATCAGTTTATGTAATGTAATTTACAAAGTGATCTCTAAGTGCCTTGTGAACCGGTTGCGGCCACTTTTGGATGAGATCATTGCCCCAGAACAGAGTGCTTTTGTGCCAGGCAGACTAATCACTGATAATGCTTTCATAGCTTTTGAGTGTATTCATGCCATCAAACAAGAGAAGGATCCGAACAGAAGCGCGTGTGCGTACAAGCTTGACCTCTCTAAGGCTTATGACAGAGTGGACTGGGATTTCCTACGGCGAATGATGCAAAGGCTAGGCTTTGATCACCGGTGGGTGCACTGGATCATGACGTGCGTGACCTCGGTGACATATAGCATTAGAGTTAATGGAGCTAGCTCGGTTTCGTTCGCACCGTCCCGCGGGCTACAGCAAGGAGATCCCTTATCACCATTTCTCTTGCTGTTTGTTGCAGATGGCTTGGGCGCTCTCTTGAGACAGAAGGTGCAGCAAGGCCTAATTAATCCGGTGCGAGTGTGCCCTAGGGCGTATGGTATATCACACCTCCTGTTCGCGGACGACACACTGCTGTTCTTTCAGGCAAATGTAGCGGAGGCCACGGAGATCAAGGATGCGTTGAGCAAGTATGCAAGGTGTATGGGGCAGGTGATCAATCCCTCAAAATGATCCATCTTGTTTGGTACCAAGTGCCGGCTGGACGACCAAACTGCTGTCACCTTAGAGCTCCAAGTGCAGAACCTGCATTTCGAGGAGAGATACTTGGGACTGCCCACGCCAACGGGTCGCATGTCAAAAGGACGCTTCCAAAGTCTACAAGAGCAATTAACCAAGAGGATACTAGCATGGGGAGAAGATGCATCCCAAGGTGGAAAAGAGATTCTGATCAAGGCTGTGGCCCAATCCCTACCAACGTACATTATGGGGTCTTCCGGTTACCGCGAAGTGTTTGTGATGATCTCACACGCATGGTTAGAAACTTCTGGTGGGGAGCGAGGGAAGGGAAGAGGAAGACACATTGGCGCGCATGGGACACTTTGATAAAACCGAAGGAGATAGGGGGAGGGCTTGGATTCGGGGATTTTCGCCTTTTCAACCAAGCCCTGCTCGCCCGGCAAGCGTGGCGACTTTTATCTAACCCTGATAGCCTATGCGCGCAGGTTCTAAAAGCTCGCTACTACCCTGACGACCACTTGGAGGACACGGTCTCTTGCGGAAACGCCTCGCCTACTTGGCAGGCCATCGTCCATGGCCTCGAACTACTCAAGAAGGGCATATTTTGGCGCATTGGTGATGGAGCCTCGGTGCGCATATGGCGGGACCAGTGGATCCCCCACCCGCTAGCGAGAGGGCCTATCTCCCCCAAGGTCGTCGCTGCCGGCTACGGCGTGTAAGCCAACTGCTCGACGAGCATGGGAACTGGAAGGTGAACTTGCTACAACAATATTTTCTTCCCGTGGATGTCATGAAGATTATGAAGATTAAAGCTTCATCTCGCCGCTCGGACGACTTCATTGCTTGGGCGGCTGAGCGCTCGGGCGTCTTTTCGATGCGAAGTGCGTACCGTCTCGCTCTATATGGAGGTGCCCTGCTCCACCAAAGGTGCACATATTCGCGTGGAAACTTGCATCCAACTATCTAGCCACTTGGGCAAACAAAAAAGCGAGAACCTTGGAGGTTACTGATACATGTCCGCTATGTGCTATGGAACGAGAGTATACGTTCCATGTTTTCTGCATGTGCCCCCGGGCCGTGGAACTGTGGCGAGCCATGGCGAAACATTGGAGCTTACCGGACATCAATTCTGTTAGGCCAACGGGCATCGAGTGGCTGCTCGGCGTGTTGTACCCCCTGCAGGTTGATGACCGCATGAGGGTCCTTATGGTGTTGTGGCGTGCATGGCATGTTCGGAATGAAATCGTCCATGAGAAGAGGCCACCCCCAGTGGAGGCTTCATGCCAGTTCCTGCTCAGCAATGAAGCATCTTTGGTTGCTATCCAAAGAGACCCGGACGGTGATCACATGAAGGGCAAGATGGTGCTTGCGCCCGTGGCGAAGAGGGCGCCGGCAAGGCACCAGGAGAACACGCCAACGCCGGATAATATGTGGCAGGCCCCAGCCCCTGGGCGTGTTAAACTGAACGTCGACGGTTCGTACTGCCCCGCCTCTGGTGCAGGCATGATCTTGAGGGATAGTAGTGGGGCGATTATTTTTTCGGCATGCAGAAACCTTCTCTTCTGTGCAGATCCTTTGCAAGCGGAGCTGGCGGCATGTCTCGAAGGCCTAAATTTTGCCATGCAATGGTCTCCTTTGCCGGTGGACGTGGAGATGGACAGCCTGATTGCTGTGCAGGCTATCCGGTCAATGAAGGAAGATAAATCGCAACATGCGATGATGATTTCTGAAGCTAAGAGACTTCTTGATGAAAGAGAAAGTTCAATTGCTCATATTAGTAGGACACAAAACTATGTTGGGCATAGACTAGCTGAGTTTGGCTGAGTAGAAGCTAGGACTTTCATATGGTTAAAATCTGGACTTGCTAATGTACCGGAACTATGTATGGGGGATCTTCCTCCAAGCTGAGCAATGAAAGCCCCTTTAACCCCGCAAAAAAAAAGTGCCATTTTCTCCCATTTCTTAGTGCAGCTCCTGCTAATTTTCGTTTAAAAATCTGTTGATAGAACTCGTTTTGAGCGCAATAGAAAATGACCCGTTCAACCTCACCTGATTTCATGGCTAAGACATTGTCATTTACTACGATATTTTTGTTCAAGGATCTGTTGACATATACTCCCTCTGTACCGAAATACATGTCGCTGGAGTAGCAGATTGATGCTCCAGCGACATGTATTTCGGTATAGAGGGAGTAGTACGTACTCATTTATGAGATGGTAGCAGATCATATCTGGGGATACAGAACCAGCAGGTATTAACTTTGAAAAATTAATTGTCCTCCAATTTCGCAGATACTTCAGTAGGAGTATATTTATTCAATATCATCAACAGAATGGAAAATATCCTTCCCCACATCCCCTATCCCGGGTAGATGCATTACCCACGTTCCTGCCATCCCAGTAGCCTTATCATATCTTCCAGATTTAGCGCAAATTAAAGTCATTAATGTGTTACCAAGATGCGCTGGATTTATCTAACACATGCCAAAAATAAGTCAACGCATTAATCATTCGTGCTGTATAAAGATTTCCCGGTGATCAATACATGCCAAAAATTAAGGCAACGCATTAATCATTCGTGCTGTATAAAGATTACCCGGTGATTGATCCTATTCCAGCATTGCCATCATCTTCCTCGTGTAGCTGTTCGTGGCTTGAGGAATGGCGTCGTTTACGAATCTCTCCGTGCCACTTCTCTTGCTCGCAATCCTCTTTCCTACGCTCTCACTCTGCTATATCAATCCAGATGCCACAAGCGTACACCAAAATGCCACAGAATCCGTTGCTTCTCGTGCTTACATCGTGCTCGTAGAGCCATCGCGCTCGAATACCGGCGAAGACGCCCACCGCCAGTGGCACGAGTCTTTCTTGCCGACCTCGTTGGTGGATGAGTCCAGCGAGCCACGCCTTCTCCACTCCTACACCGAGGTGTTCAGCGGCTTCGCCGTGAGGCTCACCGACGCTGAGCTCGACGCTATGGCTAAGAAGCCAGGGTTCGTGCGTGCATTCCCGGACCGAACGCTGCAGCTCATGACCACCCACACGCCGGAGTTCCTCGGGCTAAAGAACGGCACCGGGTTCTGGAGCCGGGCTGGCTACGGGAAGGGAGTCATCATTGGACTACTCGACACCGGTCTCTATGCGATGCACCCTTCCTTTGACGATCATGGAGTTTCGCCACCCCCAACAAGGTGGAAGGGCTCGTGCAAGGCGGCCCGGTGCAACAACAAGCTCATCGGTGCCAAGTCACTCGTTCAGGGTGATGAATTTGGCGACAAAGAGGGGCACGGAACGCACACCTCGTCCACTGCCGCCGGGAACTTCGTCACCGGCGCATCATACCATGGTGCGGGCGTGGGCGAGGGCACCGCGGCCGGAATTGCTCCTGGCGCTCACATCGCCATGTACAAGGTATGCGCCAATAGCCGCTGTAAGCAATCTACCGTTACTGGCAGGCCTAGAAGAGGCCATCAAGGATGGTGTGGACGTGCTCTCGCTCTCCCTTGGCGGTGACACGAGTGCCAGCTTCGATGAGGACCCCATTGCTATCGGTGCATTCAGTGCTGTGTCCAAGGGCATCCTCGTGGTGTGCGCCGCCGGCAATAGCGGTCCGAGGCCGGGCTCGATCACCAACGAGGCGCCGTGGTTGCTCACGGTCGCCGCCGGCTCCGTGGATCGGAGCTTTGCTGCCAGCCTGCATCTCGGCAATGGCAAGAGCATCGACGGAGAAGCACTTACCCAGAAAGTGAGTCCGAGTTCAAAGTCACACCCTCTCCTCTACTCCGAGGAACGACGGTGCTGCAATTACAAGAGTGGCAGTGGCATCACCGGTAAGATCTTGGTCTGCGAAGGCACTAGGTCGAAGACTCAACAATCCAACATCCACAGAATAGTGGGTGCTGGTGCGGCTGGTGTGGTGCTTTTCAACGATGAAATCAGCGGCTACGCCACCATGGTTCAGGATTACAACTCCAGTGCTGTACAGGTGAGCGCGGCCGACGGCGATGTCCTCATAGCTTATGCCGCGTCATCAGAGAGCAGCTCCGTGGCCTCTCTCATCTACAACAACACACTGTTTGGTGTCCGTCCGGCCCCCGTCGTGCCCTTTTTCTCTTCCCGTGGTCCAAGCGTCATCGCCGTCGGCATCCTAAAGCCGGATATATTGGCACCAGGCCTCAACATCCTCGCCGCGTGGCCGCCAAGCACGGGCTCTGGAAAGGGCACTTTCAACATCATATCAGGAACATCCATGGCAACGCCACACGTCAGTGGTGTCGCTGCGCTTATCAAAAGCATCCATCCTGACTGGTCGCCAGCCGCCATCAAGTCTGCCATCCTAACGACGTCGGACATCGTTAATAGCACTGGTGGCTCAATCTTGGACGAGCAACATAGGAAGGCCGGCGTGTATGACACAGGCGCCGGCCATGTGAACCCGACCAGAGCCGCAGATCCTGGCTTGTTGTATGACCTCAGTGTCACCGACTACGCCGGCTACATCTGCTGGCTCCTCGGTGACAGCGGCCTAGCAACCATCGTGCGCAACTCAAGCTTGACCTGTGCGAAGCTGCCCAAGGTCCACGCTGTGCAGCTTAACTACCCGACGATAACCGTGTCAGCGACATCGACGCCATTCACAGTGAAGCGGACTGTGACGAACGTTGGGCCAGCAAACTCGACGTTCACGGCGAAGGTGGATGCGCCAAGATCACTGACAGTGCGTGTCTCCCCGGAGACGCTGGCATTCTCCAAAACTGGAGAGAAGAAGACCTTCAGCGTGTCTGTGAGCAGCCACGGCTTGGGCGAGGAGCTGCACGTGGAGGGAAGCTTGAGCTGGGTATCGGAGAAGCATGTCGTGCGGAGCCCCATCGTTGCTGTCTCCCCAAGAGGCGATACTGCTCCGGACCCATCACCATGAATGATGTACGTGCCGCGAAATTAGTAGATGTTTACTTTGTCAACATAATAATAAATAAACAGTACTAATGGAAATTTGTATTATGAATTACTGGTACAAAATTTTAGGTTATGCCATTCAAACTAGAGATCAGTACTTGATATTGCGTCCTGCTGCTTAATGCCTGTTTGAAACTCCACCGACCTTTTTGTTCAGAACAGGAAACTTATGAAACTCTGGAGTTGCATTCGTCTCTGTAAACTTTTGTCAGATAAGAAACAGAGAAAATGGGTGAAAAGAGAGGCGATTGTGTCCGTCACAGGCCATCTGCAATTGAAAGTCTTTTCGCTTTAATTTAGATGCCCCTCTAAGTGCTCAACAAAAGAAATGTGAAAATTGCTGGTGTAAATCTCGTTACAAGTCTGCATGTTTCGTACAGTTGTATGAATGTGCAAGTTTGTGGGTTTCCTGCAGACATATGAATACTCAATATAAACACATACTATATTCTAGACTCAAAATTCATGTTTATAGTGCTTTTGCTCCATGTGTGATATAAGCGCATATATGCTAGACCAAGTATCACCATCACTTGGTATGGCAAAGAAAATTAGAATGCATTCCATCAAGCACCAACATCCAGGTCGTAGTAGTACAATGCATTCTTGTTTGGTCTTTCACTAGAAAATGACATTCTTTTTGTTTAGTTTTACAACAAAAGGACTTGAACATTGTTACCTTAATCTCCTTCCTCAGCGGTGAGATCTTGAACATTGTTTTAATTGCAGGATTGTGTCACATAGAAAAAATTCATGCACTGCATTCTATTACCGAGTTTCCATTGGCTCCTGTCTCATGGAAATGTATCTTTGGCTACTATGGCACACAACTAATTCTTGATCTTTGATTCAGAATAATTTCACAGAAAATTATGGGAATAGAATCTTTATAATTATTTTTCATGAAGCTTTGATTTGTATTGTATTTGGGAAGTTTTCATATGGCCCACTATGCTCTCAATTGAAAAAATGGAAAATTTCATGATCGAACCTATTGAAAGTTTTCCTTTGTTTAAATGTCAAATATGTCTTATGCACCTAATCCTTCAAAAAGTCATGTGGTTTTTCTATGCCACAGCAAACTATTTGTACTTGCTTATTCATGTGGTTCCTATTTATGTAGAAAATGGCATGTCATGACATCCAATTCATGTGTTTTATCCATCGGGCATTTTGAGAATCCTGCAAATTGAATAGGCCCCAATGAAAATTCACGTATTTCTCCTATGATGCAACCAAATAACTTCGGTTCCATATTCCTTTGTTTTAAATTTCAATAGGTTTCAATAGCCCCAGCATTCCATATCCCGTCCTTTTCCTATTCCCGTGTATTTGAAATATGCAAATCAAAAGGCTACTTGAAATTTGTGTAACTGGGTTCGTTTGGTTAGGATTATAATGGGCTCCATCTCTATGTCAGAGTGGGGAAACTTACTTGCAACCCAAAGAGATGCACTGCTGCTGCAACACCCGCCCAGAAACGAACTTGAACCCAATAACTAATAAGAGTTGGTTTTGATCAGCTGATGTTCGTCTTCCCACTCAGCGTTTCTTCCCAAGAACATATTCCTAACGCCCTATCTACGGAGTCCAATGTTTTCGAGTCGATGAGTCGACGGGTCGCTTGGGAGGGGCGACTCTAGACTAGTCGTGACTAGTCTAGACTCACGGTCGACGAGTCGACATGGCGACGAGTCGACGTGAGTTAAGCAGCAGGCAGTCAGGGGAGGAGCACAAGTGCACGGCAGCAGCAGCAACCAGGGGAGGAGGGGAGGAGCACACCACCAGCAGCAGTAACCAGGGCCAACTGAGAGATGGGCCACTAGTTATGCACTTCCCTGTGGCCCAAAAGCCCATCTAGTAGCTATATACTCCTCCCGTGACCTAATCCACAATCCACACTCCCTCCTCCCTCACCACACATTCTGCTGCCACTCTCTTGCCATCAGTCCACCACTCCTCCCACCGATGGATCTCTCAACTCCCCCGCAGCAGCTCTCTTGCCACCGCTCCTCCTCCCAGCCCGCTCCTCTTGCCGCTTCAGCTTCAGCTTCAGCAGCAGCGAGGCAGCACAACAACATCAGCAGTAGCACGGCGGCGGGAGAGTACTCCAGATCCAGCACTGCCTCGAGTCGTTCGACCCAAAAACCGCGACTAGTCGAGACTAGTCGCGCGAGTCGCTCGACTCATCCCAGGAGTCGAGTTGAGAGGCTGAGTCGGCCCTGGAACTGCGACTCGTCGACTAGTCGACGACTAGTCGTGACTAGTCGAGCGACTCGAAATCCATGATGGAGTCTTGGCTACTAATCAACCTGCTTGTCTTCCTACCTTTTAAAGCTGATTGTCTGACCGTGCCATTCTATTGTAAAGGAAGCACATATTTCCTTTCTAAGTAAGCACATCAGTGGCCTATCATCTTCACCGAATCGATTCATGCGGAACTTTCGCTGGTTATCGGTTAAATTTCTCGATGATTAGTAATTCTCTTTTGCAAACTGAGATTGCTAACGATACTAAAAGAACGCAGTAAACAAAACTTTGGAAGATGGTGCCCCTCCAACCAACTATGTAAAGACCATTTTCTCAGGCAATAGATTTCTAATACACATATATAGTACTAGATCAGAATCTTTCACCTCCCTTGTATCTCCGAAAGAGTACAATCGTTCACAGAGCTCTGAATGTCAACCATAATTTGCTCCATTTCTATGCCCCGCCGGGCAAAGTAGGCGGGGCGGTTGGGGGCTGGAAGCGTGGTGCTTCCATTCTCCAAGACGAACACAACAGTTGACATCAGGGGCCTATCATCTGGATTTTCTTGCACACACAGGAGTGCCACATGGATGCAGAGCAAAACTTTGTCTGGTGAATATGTATCCATGAGAGATGAGTCTGCCAATTCCTCCGTCTTCCCTTCCTTCCACATATTCCATGACTGCAACAATAAAAACGGTCACATGTCTTCTGTGAGGTTGTTGAACGGAAACAGTTTCAAAAAACAAAATCCTGGTATACTTATGATGTTGAAAGCTGTGAGAAATCTTGTGTGTACTCACATAAACTGCAAGGTTAGGAAAACTTGATGTCTGACTGTTAGAGTTTCTCCTAATACCAGTGACGACCTCTAGTAGTAACACGCCGAAGCTGTAGACGTCGGACTTGGTAGAGAAGATGCCCTCCATCGCATACTCAGGGGCCATGTAGCCACTGCTTGAGCATTTCACTCGAAAGAGTTAGCAAACAGGAGTTGAATTGTTCACAAGTCAGCATGAGTTGTTGGCTTACAAGGCTACTCACTATGTTCCGAGAACGCGTTGGGTATTTGCGTTTTGTTGGTTATCACCAAAGATTCTTGCCATACCAAAATCAGCTATCTTGGGTTTCATATCTACATCTAGCAAAACATTTGCAGCTTTAAGATCCCTGTGAATTATGGTCAACCTTGAGTCTTCATGAAGATAAAGAAGTCCCCTTGCGACCCCTTTGATTATGCTAAACCGTGTTCCCCAATTCAACAACAATTTTCTCGAGTCATCTGTAGATAGAGCAAATGTTAGATCAAATGTTTTTGAGTTGTCTTCAGAAACCATAGTGAGTATATCTGGATATTTACCAAAAAGGGTGGCATCTAAGCTCTTATTAGGTAGATACTCATATATCAGGAGTTTTTCATCTCCCTCACCACAACATCCCAGAAGTCGAACCAAGTTTTTGTGTTGCAATTTGGCAATTAGAATTACTTCGTTCCTGAATTCCTTTGTTCCTTCTTGAGAATCTTTGCTTAGCCTCTTGACTGCGACTTCTTGACCACCTAACATCCCCTAGATAAATATAATTCAAACATTATACTTCAGTTTTAAATATGAACAAATTTACCCTCCTAATTTAGAATGAGTACCAAAAACTTTATATTGTACGAGTTACCTTGTAAACTTTGCCGAAACCTCCCTGTCCAATCATGTATGTTTCAGAGAAATTGTGAGTTGCGAGGGCAACTTCTTCAAATCTTACAAACGGGAATTCGTGATCATGGGACTGATTTTCTTCCCCAAGCTCATTAGAGGTACTCGCATTATCCACCCTAATATTCTTGTTCTTTCTCCTTTTAAATTTCTTGCCTGCTCCCATGATATTACAGTCATTTCAATGAGCATATCATAGGGATAAGAAATAAGTTTGACATCGGCAACTACTAATGTTTGTTACACTTCCATGTATGAATTCATGAAACAATAAGAAATAGCCGACAAGGCATGGCTGCCACCATGGCAAAATTGCCAACCGGACAATATGGCTATCACCTGACATAGTTGAAGGAAAACTACCCATGCATGCAATCAAAATACATGTGTTGGGAAACCACCCCTAGATCCCTAGACTCCCCCTTATAAACGATGTTGACAATTTTGTGCCATGTCAGCACTTACAACTGGCCTGGTCTGTAAAAAATTAGGTTAATCACTTCAAACCTATCATCAGTGTTTATTGAGAATTTTAGTAAGGAAAACCGCAGATTTTTGGGGCTCCCAATAAATGTGGTGTTTTTTTTTTTGCAATTCACTCCGAGAAAAACACAGATGACATTTGAGTCCATTTGCACCATGTTGGACATTGTTATGCTTTTCCTGTCCCCTTTTATATAGTGAGTGTTTTAAGAGCAACGGTTGCTTTCCATATTTTTTGCTACTAGACTGCATGTTATTGTTACAACGCTCTCATAGTGGCCAAACAAAAAAAAACGCCTAAACGTTATTTGTTGTACTTTTACTTATTCAAGTGGTCGAGAAGATTTTTTAACCAAATTGTGACGGCATACTATGGTAGTAGGCGTCTGACTTCCAAGTTGGTCTAATACAAATTTTCCTAAGGATTAGTAACTAAAGGTACCTTTGAATTTGAACCATGCCAGGGAGATGCATATGAGCACGAGAACACTGCTGCCAAAAACTGGTAGCACAATCCTCACTGCATTGCTCTTTGTCCTTGAGAGTTTTTACGGTACCCTATACTGCTAACAGGGAAGGGAGCGGTATATTTTGTGAGGGTAGGATAGCAATAGAGATAGATTTCTGAATGAACTTTAGCGACGTCGTGGATCGGCAGATAATGGTGACGGAGAACCAAGACGGGAAGCCCCGCCGCCATGTCCCACGACTCCTCCACGGTCTCCTTCAACCTCCTGCTCCGGTATTTGGACGGAGGCACCCCCCGAGCCGTCGTTCTCGACCACGACCTCCGCCTTGAGCTCGTCTTATTCGACGCACCCGAGGATCACCACCGGCACCAACGCGCTCCCTCGCCGTCTTCACTGCGTCCCTGGCCATCACGTCGCGTCCATCGAGCCTGTGCTGACCTGCCGCTCCTCCGCGCCTCTTTCCCGTCGTTTTCATCTATCGTAGCATCGTCTTGCTGAAGCCGGTGCCCTCTGTCCGCCATTGATGAGCCCCTGGAGCTTGTCCCGCATGCACACACCCAGCCACGCGTGCCCGTTCGCCTCCACAGTCCACACCCGCGTCAACAGCTGCCGTGCACACGCCGCAGCACAGCAGTTGCTACTCGTCCGCTCCCGCCTCCGCAGTCAGCACGATCCGAGAGGGCAGGTCGGGGCAGCCCGCAGCCAGCAGCCAGTCGCCATCGCGGGCGAGCAGCGTGCGCCAGTCCGGAAGGCATAGACGTCGGTTCGAAGGTGCTGCACCTTGCCGGCCCAGCCGGCATCGCCGCGGAGGTCGAGTCCCCGGCCGTAGGTCGAGACGGGCGGGCTGTTACTTCCCAAAATGCCATCAGGATTTGATACTGGAGGACCTGAGCGAAGGAGCGCAAGCTATACCGCTTGCCATTCTTTTGGCAAATTGGAGCAGTACTGAACGATCGCCACCATTAGATTTCATGATTGGACGGCCAATAGTTGACGCAGGGTACCATAAAAGAGCTCTTGTCCTTGAGAGTTTTTACCTATGCAGGAAATATGTATACCATAAGAGAAAAACATATGTATACCATAAGAGAAAAAACATTGTGGAGAGAGAAATATGGAAGCGAAGACAAAAACCACCAACAAAAAGAGGAAGAAATGACAAAACCAGTAGGGGAACCAATTGGATAAAAGAGCGAGAATTACTCAAAAAAAAGTTGGAGAAAGAGCAAGAAACCGAGTTTTGTACCAGTAGATGCATCCATGCCTGCAAGCCGAATATAGAGTGTTTCTCCGCCGAGCTCTGCGCTAGACTTTCTGGTGTCAACCAACTCCCCAGCCCACACCAAGCACCTTGCCACATCTCCGCCGGACCTGCCGCTGCTCAATTTCGCATATGCGTACCCAACGCATGAGCAGTTGCGGTTGCACTCGGCACACTCCTCGAATGTACTCCCGCCACCGCCTACGCGAGTGAACCTGTCTGGTGACTTCGTCCCTGGCAAGGCCAAGAAACCATCGCCGCAACCGTGCAACGGCTCCTTCCGTCGGCAGCCGGTCGAGAACCTACCATTTGCCCACTCCTCAATGTTTGCTGGCTCAAAACCGTCAAGGCATTTACATGATGGGGCTGGCAACACCGTCTCGTCGCAGTAGCCGTATGGGCCGCAGTAACCGTAGCGGGTGCATTCGGCGGACGGCCACTTCCAGAGGACATCCCATGTCGATGTCCAGCTACTCCAGCTTTGGAGCTGGTACTCGCCTGAGTAGCTACGTCACCACGTACCTTGTGTGGGCGGCACCTTCGGAGAGGGTGTACGTGACATATATATCTCTTCCTCGTTGTCAACGAAGGCGGTGTAGACGATAATGGAGTTGTTGTTCATGCGTTGGCTCATCACTAGGTCTCCCATCCATGTGGCGCTACGTAACACCGGGCGTGACCCGTCCGAGAGGAACGTCTGGAGGAGCGTGTTCCAATCGACCCCAAAGGAGAAGCACCCTGGTGAGGGGTCGCTAGAGCCCTTCCAGGCCACCATGCGCTCGTTGTCCATACGCGCCCGTACCTGTACCGGCCGGATCTTCATGCCGGGGAGGAACGTGTCGGCCGGGTGTTCAAAGCTTTGCCACAGCATGGTGCCGTTTGGCGAGCGGATGACGAGATTGCCGGTGTTCAGAAGCACTGCCGTCGTCGGGGGAGATGACGCTGGTGCAGCACCCACGTTGGTTGTTGCCCAAAGAACACGTTCACCACCATCTCGTCTGGAGAGAACGAGATTGGAGGTGTTGGTGAAGGAGAGTGTCGGTGATGCAGACGAAGTGGTGTTGGTGGCCGGGGTTTCTCGGTTGGCGACCCACACGACGGTGAGCTCAGGGATGTCATTGTACCAGATGCCCAGGTACAGCTTGGTGGGAGTGGAGTTGGAGGGGGCGAAGAAGCCCAAGGCGAAGGCACCGCCGTCGGAGACGATGGTGGAGCCAGGGGAGAGCGGCTTCCCGGGGACAAGCCGGTCGTCGGACGCACTAAACCGGCATGACTATAAGAAGTATCAACACGGCGGCCCCGGCGAAGCATCGTGCCAACCCATCGGTCGTTAAGGCCTGCCAACCCATCGGTCGTTAAGGCCTAAATCATACTAGTACGAAGTAGCTAATGTGCTATTGATGCTGCAAAGCGGTGTCGGCTATATCTAGCCTTGGTCACAAGCACAAAATGCATTGGCAAACATGAAGGACTCGTTCCAGCCCTGGGCACGTGTTTGATTGCGGAAGCAGATGGCGCGGTAATGCAAAGTTTTTTGTATCGGAGCAGTTGACAGTATGCTGGATTGAGTTAACATCGATCTCTCTCAGCTGTCCATGTCGGAGTAGGAATGCCACTGTCACTGCTGACTAGTCACACCAGTGACTGAAATATTAGGCTATACCGGTCCGGCTGCTCCAACCTCGATTCTACTGGATTTTGTTAGAAAGTGAAACCATATGACTAAATCCGGAAGTGCGGTTTATAACCGCTGTAACTTTATCTTCTGTTATGCTTCTTTTTAAATAGTATGTACTCTTTAAACGCTCTTATATTATGGGACGAAGGGAGTATCATTCACGATATGAAACCGCACTAAATCACCTTGCACAGTTTCCCCTGGTGATAGGATCGGGAAATCCACGGCATGGCCATCAGATGACACGCAGCTAACTTAGACCAAAAATCTGCATATGAACGCCTGCATCTCATCACATGTTTGGCATATGTCTGTCTCACCCTAATATACTATGTCTGTTGGTCCTGACATTATTTTTTTTGCATGTAGGAGTAAGCATAAACCAATTGCAAGAACGGCAGAAAATAACACGCTACTACCTAAGCACTTGCATCTAACCGCCCTCTTGTAAAATCACGAGAGCCTTGCTTCGCTAACCTCTACACCACCCTTGATTCCAAAAGTTCAAAACTTCTGATACAAATTAACGACTGAGTTTGAAGCTTATCTTTTCGCTGAAAAGGTGGTATTGTCACGGGTCAAGGAGTTTTTGTTCCCTCTCAGAAACAGGCTTTCGCTCCGCTTTATAGGTAAAGCAAAGATCACAAGTACATGGCGAACGATACATGGTGGTGACGAAACCCACAAACAAAGCAGAACTCAAAAAAAGGGACACGATACATGGTCGAAACACGACTATGACACCAAGCAAGAAAAAAGCAGGACCTAAAGACTACACTAGCAACGACCAACGACACACGGGCTCCTCGGCAACACCCTCAAGAGGGAGAACGGCACAAAGCGTCGCCATTGCCGCATTCGACGAAACGGACCAAGGTATTTACCAGGAGCTCTGACGGGGGAAGTGAGCTACGCAACGTCCTCATGAGGAAAGCGGCACCCGCGGGTGTCGTCGTTGTTGGCGCCGAAGCACAGAGCTTTCACCCAATCGCTTCCCCGAGCCATACAAGATTTGAGCCAGTCGCCACGATGAAGCCGAGATCACCAGAGCAAGATCTGGGCACCTCCCATGCCGTGGCAGAGAGGACGCCAAGGCCTCCCAATGCAACACTCCTCGTCGTCCACACGACCGAGGAGCATCGCCACCACCGCTACTCGATGACCTATCGGATAGCCGACCGAGTAGCCCGCTACCCAAGGCCCCCGCCCCGGCATCCTACTACGAACCTCTCACTGACGCCATAACACGCAGACACCACCTCCCGGAGGGGAGGTAGGCACCTTCCCACCAACCCTTGAGGTCCCACCTCACGGCCAGCCAGAGGTGGGCCATAGCCGGGTAACATCGCCACCACGGCTGGCTAGCGAGCAAGCACTAGACCGCGGGGTTGGAGAAAGCCCTCGCACTCGGGATCGCGTCGCCAGCCACCTGCCGGCAGCACCTCTGAAGGACACAATAGTCAGAGCCCCGTCAGATCTAGTCACTCTAAATCTCAACGGGGAGCGGCTCAGGACCGACATCTCTGGTCATCGGGAAGCATCGGTAGTGCCGGCCGTCGGAGCCTCTGACCCTCCACCCCCATGCTAGCCCCCATCATAACCCACCATGAGCCACCATCACGCCATCTTCCCACGCCTCACGACCCCGCAAAGAAAGGCGGAGCCCCATCAGAAACTAGCCACCAGCACCCACACCACCACGAGCAAGCACTACCGGGCCACCACTGTGAAGGAAATATGCCCTAGAGGCAATAATACAGTTATTATTTATTTCCTTATATCATGATAAATGTTTATTATTCATGCTAGAATTGTATTAACCGGAAACATGATACATGTGTGAATACATAGACAAATAGAGTGTCACTAGTATGCCTCTACTTGACTAGCTCGTTAATCAAAGATGGTTATGTTTCCTAGCCATAGACAAAGAGTTGTCATTTGATTAACGGGATCACATCATTAGGAGAATTATGTGATTGACTAGACCCATTCCGTTAGCTTAGCACTTGATCGTTTAGTTTGTTGCTATTGCTTTCTTCATGACTTATATATGTTCCTATGACTATGAGATTATGCAACTCCCGTTTACCGGAGGAACACTTTGTGTGCTACCAAACGTCACAGCATAACTGGGTGATTATAAAGGTACTCTACAGGTGTCTCCGAAGGTACTTATTGGGATGGCATATTTCGAGATTAGGATTTGTCGCTTCGATTGTCGGAGAGGTATCTCTGGGCCCACTCGGTAATACACATCACTTAAGCCTTGCAAGCATTGCAACTAATGAGTTAGTTGCAGGATGATGTGTTACAGAACGAGTAAAGAGACTTGCCGATAACGAGATTGAACTAGGTATTGAGATACCGGCGATCGAATCTTGAGCAAGTAACATACCGATGACAAAAGGAACAACGTATGTTGTTATGCGGTTTGACCGATAAAGATCTTCCTAGAATATGTAGGAGCCAATATGAGTATCCAGGTTTCGCTATTGGTTATTGACTGGAGACGTGTCTTGGTCATGTCTACATAGTTCTCAAACCCGTAGGGTCCGCATGCTTAAAGTTCGATGATGGTTATACTATGAGTTTATGGTTTTTGATGTACCGAAGGTAGTTCAGAGTCCAGGATATAATCACGGACATGACGAGGAGTCTCGAAATGTTCAAGACGTAAAGATCGATATATTGGACGACTATATTTGGATACCGGAATGGTTCCGGGTGAGATCGGGATAATACCGGAGCACCGGAAGGTTATCGGAACCCTCCAGGAGGTATATGGGCCTTAATGGGCTTTAGTGGAAAGGAGGGGGAAGGAGCAAGGGAGGGGGCGCCCCCCCCCCCCAAGCCCAATCCGAATTGGGAAGGGGGCCGGCCCCCCTTTCCTTCCTCCCTCCTTCCTCTTCCTTCCCTCTCCCTCTCCAAATAGGAAAAGGAGGAGTCCTACTCCCGGTGGGAGTAGGACTCCCCCCTTGGGCGCGCCTCCTCCCCTTGGCCGGCCCTCTCCTCCCCTCCTTTATATACGAAG